TCCCCCAAAGCACTATTCACGAATTTCTATTTATAGCCTCAACTCATGTTGGAACGGCCCATTCCGATGATTAGAACAACCCGTTCTAGATTAGTTTGTTATGGGTAATTTTTAAATCTAGAATGGTCCATTCTGGATTTGAAATTAACTCGTAACAAACTGGGTCAAAATGTCTTGTTCCAGATTGGGAACGATCCATTTTGACCTAGGGTTTCCAGGCCATTTCGGAAGCTTGAAATGGCTCGTTCCAGATCAGGAATGGCCTGTTTTGGGCCCCTAATTCAACTTTAGGGTTTTCAGGCCTTTTGGTTTCCTGGTCCATTCTGATGTCATGTTGGGCCTTCAAAATCTTCTTGCCTTAGTTTGGGTACCCGAGACAAAATTGGGAGTCTACCACTCTTAAATGACCAAATTAGGTTCTATGGTATTCATAAGAGTTGTAGGCTTAAACGTTAGCTTTTCAATGATGTTGTAAACACCCAAAAATGAGGTCTATAACTTATGTTATGATCAAATTAGTGAGCAAAAGTCAAGTTGTCAAAGTTAGGCTTAAATATTGTGGTTTTATACTTTTTAAAAATATAGTAGATTGAAAAATCAACTCTTAAGATCAACATAAAAGTTGTAGATAATTATCTTAGCTTTCTAATAAAATTAAGATCAACTTATTAGCATATGTACATCTTTAGATAATGCACTTAGACCACACAATGTTATAGAAGCTTAAGATAAGAAGATATAATTTATGAGTTATATTGGTGAGTTGTTTTATTCTTTAAGTGTCTATATGTGATATGAATAATGATAGTGTATAATGTTATGATGTTTGAGATTCGATGATGTTATGATAATTATGTTATAATGACGAATGCTATAATATGTGATGAATAAATAGTATGAGTAATAATAATATATAATGTATGATGTATAATGTTATGTTGTATGAGAAGTTATATAGATGTAAGATGTGTTTAATTACTATGAGTTATGTGATGAGATATGATGGATGTCTAGTGTTGCAGTTGACAAATGAAGAATTCAATTAGTGTATATTGTGAAGATATCATAGGTCATCTACCTATGTCCTAGGGATGTTATGGTGGAGAAACCTCTAATAGAATTAGAAAGCTACTATGGACAGTTATAACACTTTGATAAAACCCTAAAATCTTGAATCTTTAAAATTTTAAAATTTTCTATCCAAACACAATTTTCAATATAATTTATATTTTTTTATCAAGTATATGTATATATTATATGTATAAGTTATAAAAGAAATAAGTATATATTATACATTATATGAAACGGAATTAATATATATATATATATATATATATATATATATATATATATAAATATCACTCATATATTTTCTTCAAAAAATT